AATGCCAAAAACTAGAATTGTAGTGGGAATAAATGTAGTGCAATGATTGGCACAAAACCCATTTTGAGTCGGATCAGCTTATACGCACTGCACTTTTTTGCAATAATCGCATGTGTAGCAGCCAGGATTGGATTGAGGCAAGTCAATCAGCTCTAGGGCACCAGTAAACAACTGTTTTGTACGTAATCTCATTTTGGTTTATTGGGGTTTTCAAGGTGCGTTTTTTTCTCCAGTTTGGTTAACATCCAGGTTCGAGATAACAGGGCTGAGCTAGGAACACAGCCCTAACTTGAATGTTCTTATTTGCACCATATGCTCACATGCGACTTTTAAGACTCAACGTTGTTTCCCGTAATAGCATAATCCTTGGGCTAACGAAGCCTGGTTACACAGAGTTCGTGGCTGCCATTAAACGCTCAGCTAGAGGTTTCCTCGTATTTTCTTGTGGTCTTAGTAATCTTGGATACATTTTCATCGCATTGCTTCCGATGCGTAGTTAACGCTGTCCGTCGACAGCTTTGCATCCCCTGGTAACAGAACGCAGACAACTGAATCGTTTCATAAAGTCGCGCGAAGTTCACTTGGGTATGGCCTGCTCTTTTTACTAGCATGTGCGTTTCTCCTTATGTAGACGGTTTAATAGTGTGAACACTGTGGATGGTGTATGAGTGTCGGTTGGATATTCAACGTTGCTTCCTTCACATATTGAGAAGTCTCAGTTGTTTCCTAGATTTAACCTCGGAGACGTACGAAAAAGATTTAAACTTGTTAGATAAATACAACAGAAATATCATATTCAGTTCAGCTCAGTTCAGTTTATTTGAGGGAAAATTAGGCGTTGAACCTTTGAACTCTCCATTTGTTGCAAGGAGGCAAACTATATCAAAAATTTTAAAATGGAAGCATCAAACAGCTGCAAAGTTTCTTCAGATTGGCGAAGATTTCGAAACCAGACAGATAAACGAATTGTTCCAAATGTTAAAAACATTAACGTTTCTAAATGCGCTGTACAGTAGTCTGTCTATGGAAAATTGGTGCTATCTTATTTTGTGAAGGAGACGAATTAAATGCCAACACACATTCAACAGACATGGGACAATAATAAAAAACAAGCGTTATTGAAATATAACAACATTTATACAGTGCTCGAACGAAACGCCAGACGATGTCGGTCAGGGGGCATTATGACGTTTAATGGTGCACTGGTCCAAATTGCACTTAAAAGCCTCGACGG